ACTGCCAACAGATCTTTTAAATTACCCACTGTTGTCATAAAGGCCTGCTTTTTTGCAGCAGGGGCAGAGGAAACATGCAGGTAAAAACATTCAACCCTATGAAATAGTAAGAGGTAAGAGACTGTTATATGCTGGTTTCTCTGAGAAGAGATGGATCCATTGTTATACCTAGGAATGTGGGAAAGAGGAGTTAATGCAGATGGTATAGAATAGATGTAAGTATACTCTCAGTGTAGAAAGACAGCATCACCCCTCTGGGGTATTAGTCTTCCCTTGTGTATCAAAAGCATTACAAAGGCAGCATTACTCTTCTTTTTTGTGTACCATGGACAATACCAAGTATACAGGACCAGGTTCTTGAAACAAGAAGTTGATTTCCTAGCATCCTATGCTTTATTTATAAGGACTGCAAGCTTCTACATTCAAATATACGATCCAATTTTTCTATTAAGGATCATTAAAATTCTCCTGAGAACAAGCCATATAATTTCTGCCGTCAGGGACACTATCACTCTAGTACAGTAGAAAAGAGGTTTCTTTAGGTTTGCTTCTATCCTGCTCCGGGTAGGGCTGGGCTTTAAGGTGTTCTGAAAGTGGTATACTGTGTTGCCTTCTAGTTTATAGTACGTATATTACTATATCTGAGTAACCTGTGTGTTATATTGATTTCTTACTCATATGATACATTTTGGTAAAATCACATATGCAACCCTACTTTTAGATGTAAGGCTCAACCCTTTTTTTAAAAAATGGGCTACTTTTTATATACGGTATATATTTAATTATTTTAGGAATGGTTATGTATTATGTATTGGGGTTTACATAATATTGTTAACCAGTAAGTAAAAAAAATAGAGCACAGCAAATGAAAATTGATGCTTAGAACATTTTGTGACCCACTGTATAATGTATAATGAAAGTGTAAACTTACAAAATGGATTCACTCAATAATCAAATTAAGGAAGTTGGGTGAACACAACTTTTATTTTTGTATATCGTCAGATGTCATATACCTCCAAGTATGGAGTTTTACATGACTTCCACCCCCTGGAAGCCATGTAAAAGTGGAGGGGGTAGAAGTCACGTAAAACCCTTTAAATGAGGTTGTGACATAAGATCTGTATCTCTTTGCTTTGGGAATTTAACTGAAGGTGGACTCTATGCACCATTCTGATAATGCTTCTAGATATCCCTACCTGCAAATGCTGAAGACCAAGACCTTTTCATTGACTGATAATGGGCCATCAAAATATTGTTAATTCCTAGCGATCACATAAATAGATTTTCTCCATGATGATCTGTCCCTAAATTGGTCCTTCAGATCTTCCAATAGTGCACTAATCATTGTCCATTCACCTTGCCCCTAGTTGTCCTCTTCTTCTCTTTCTTTCTACCTTTCCCAGCATTAAAGCTTTCTGCACAAAGTTAGATCTTCGATACTGAGTCTAAAACCCAGTCATTTGTGCCTCAAGTTAAAACAATTCTGAGCTGATTTATTCAATGATCCATTTGTTTGTTTTTTTGGCTGCCCATTCTCAGAAGTCTTCTCCAGCACCAATGTCAGTTTTAAAGTATAGAGTCATCTAAATTACAAAATAATTTCAATTTCTGTGTGTTCAATTTCAAGTAGAGGGTTTGAATCTGGTAGACATCTGACTATGCAATGGTGTAGTGCATTAAGCCACATCTTTAGTTCCGTCTAGTGTCCTATAGTGTCCAACCTTCCAAATTCCATCTTATCATACACTATTCAGAACAACAGCATTTTCCCATGGGATGATTCTTATAATTAGTTTCATAATCTATTCAAAATCCTTTCTTCGTTTGTAATTTTTAAAAATCAATGTTCTAATTACCCATTTGCTATTTATTCTAAACCAAAAGATTTTTCTAGTCCTTAAATTTTCATAAAACTTCTTTTGAATGAAAGATTGAATAAACTTACCTGGTATAGTAAAAACATGGCATTATAGAATTTCCTAATATCTGAAATTTACAAGCAATTTCCAAAAGTGATTAAGAAAAGTATATGATCAAAGTTTTTTTTAAAGGCACTAAGCTATGGTTTGGACTACAGTGGTGTTTTCTCATCTCCCAAATCTCTAAACCCACTGGAAATGACTGAGTTGTGGTCTCCTTGCAAGGAGCAACTGTCTAGAGCACATGGGGATGATCTTCGTCTTCTCCTTGTCTAGAGAGGAATTCAAGAGTTGTCTTTCTATTCTGGCTCTCATTTGCTGAAGCCATTGGCTATACTGCACAATTTCTTGCCCAGAAGTCCTGATAATTGATCTCTCCTGAACTAAAATTTCTTCTCAACCCAGATTCTATAATGAGTGAACAAAAACCCATCTGTTGTTTTGGCTTATACTTCCATGACACCATCCTTGTTTTCTGAACACATAGTGTAGAGTTCACCCCATTCACTCACAATTAAATCTGCACAGAAATCTGAAGCACACAATGAAGAATGCAGCTTACACCAGTAAGCAGTCGTCAGCTCAGCCTTGGCAGTGATATGTGACGCTCGTGTGGGATGTGAGAAAAGCTACACAGTAATGTGAGCTGCTACCAACTATCCAAACAGAAGAACTGGATGCAACTGAGTACATAAGAAATTGTGTATGTACTAAACAACAACTGCTCTGAAGGTGGAGGGGGGAAGGAATTGCCATTGTTATCTGTCTGCTTCATGAATACAGTAAGGGTTCACCGCCAAGCACCTGTTGTGGCACCAAATCTTGTGTAAGTAGGACTTTAGCATTCAGGAGTAACCCCATACCCTGGATAGCAGAAGATTTCTTGAAAGAGAAGTGAATGGGGAAAAATGTTTACTTAGTCACAGTGGGAAGATTTTTCTTCTGTAAATTTCCTTAGTGGACCACCAGCAGTATAATCACAGTATTTCTTAAACTAAAAAAAGGTAGAAAGTCAGTGGTTCTATCTAGAAGTTAGAAATGAGATATTGTGTGTGTGTGTGTCTACATGTGGCCATGAACAGAGGCAGATTGGAGGCTTAACTTGCAGAGAGGGGACAGCCAACTCTGGCTGAGTTGTCATTCAGATGCTGTCAGCCTTTTTCAGTAGGCAAGGGCCCACCACCATGAAAAAAAGAAGGGGCAGCAGGCAACATGCTTTTACTGGGGCAAAGATTACTGATGGAAGTAATGATTCTTTAGATATTTGTTTTTGTTCTGTTATATGGAAATAATCCAGTGCTTCTTATGGCAGCCTCAGAACCACATTAGGACATGCAGGAAGGAAAGGCAATAAGTGAAATCCTAACTGGATTTTCTATAGTAAGGTCCTTCTTTCAAATGCTAAAGTAAAAAAAAGCCACATTTTCATTCAGCCAGTAAGCCTTACTTTTTCGCAGCTACTAAAATTCACATTTACATACTTGCAAATATGAAAAAAGTTAATGTTTGTTTATATTCTCATACTTTGTTATAAAATAACAATACATAAATAGATAATAAATGTGTAATCTGTAAGAAATACAGACATATTTGTATACATTAGAATCAAATGCAAGATCCAAGACTGGATGCAAGGCAATAAGTTACATTGAATTGCCATGAAATAAAATGATCACATATTGTTTAAGCATAAAAGAGCTTGTTCAAAGGCCTGGAACTAGTAGTACAGAGAAGTAAAACATGTTTCTCCAGTTGTAAAAACTACCTTGCCTTGTCACAGAAATATTTCATTTGCTACAGATGAGTAGTAATTTGTACGGGTATTTTCTAGTCATACTAATTTTCTAAATAGTTCTCAGGGATGCTTGTTGAGATTCTGGAAGCTGTAACTTCAATAGATACTTAGAAGGGGGTTTGAAATTGTCCAATTTATGTCTTATGGAATGCTTTGAATAAAATGAAGGACATTGGCCCTCTAGATATTGCTAAATTACATCTATCAGCATCTCTCTTAGTCTTACTTTAGTTTAGTTATGGCAGCTGGCTGGAAAGATAGTGTAGTAACATGTGGAGGCCAGAAATCAGAAGTCCTAACATCTTTTGCCTTGAAGATGAATGAATAGCGATGCTATATTTTTGGCCAATATAGCTGTGGTTGGCCTTGTAGGACTTAAATCCTTTTCCATCAGTTACTCGTTTTACACCAACGCCTCTGCATATGAGTCCACTCCACATTCCAGTAGCTTTGATGTGTTTTCATACCACAACATTTCAGCATTAAAGGTCTCAGCTTCTTAGAAATGCCAGTGCACTTTGAGGTGCAGTCAATCCCAGGGCTTTAGATCCTAGACTTCAAGGGATGTCTCTGGCTGTGGACTAAAGACCCGTCAGGCCTGGCCCACCCTCTGCCAACAAATCCTCTGCCTGACAGGATAAAGTTGGATGCTTGACAGCCATCCCGGGCCGGCCTTCAGCTACTCAGAGCTCAGTGTGACAATTACAGCTTTCTTTTCTACTTCTTACTGCTGGCTCCATCTGTCCACAGTCCATCTGGGGAAAACAAGCACAAAGGAACTAGGCCAGGTGGCTCTGGAATAGCCATCTTTAACCTGTTTCCCATCTGTTCACCTTGGTTGCTAATGTAATAATCCCCTAGGAATTTAAAGGAATCTACTTGTGGTTTTATACTAGGGCTGAGCTGGCATTTTCTTTCATATTATACTAAGCTGGACTGTGTATGCAGTGAGGGAAAAGACAGTGGAGGGATGTTGGCCTCAACCTAGGCAGGGCACATGGCCTACCTCGCTGATGCAGAGTGAGTTTTTGTTTAGAAAGTCTTGCAGGCGATTCCTGAAGTCTGTCCCCAAATTGTCACTAGGTTGTCATTTGAATATGTAGAGAAGATAAATGTTGTTAGTTACATGAGGAGTACTTGTGCTAACAGATTTAATTTGATTTTAATCAAATTTAAAAGGAATGCAAGTTTTTTTTTTTGTCCCAAAAGCATCTACATACAGTGCCCACATAAACACTCAAAAGGCAGTTGTGGCTTTTTAATCCCAAATGTTATATGTTTGTTCCACACAGAGAAGATCCCAATCCTGGTTAGATAATCTGGTATTGTATAAGACAGATCCATCTGTTCCTGATGACACTCCAAATGTTCAGCTCCCATTAGCCCTTTGTACCAGTGATTGAGGACTATGAAAGATATACACCAACCAGATCAAGAGGGCTACGGATTCATTCTCTCGTTTACAGTATGATTTCCCATTTTCTGCTGAAGTTTTGACTGATAAAAGCTCTGTGATAGAGTAAAACAACAAGGACTTCTCATAGTCTTCTAATTATCCTCACTTGCTACACCACAAATTTCCCCTCCAATAGAAAGAGGTTTTGTCCCTCTCTAGAATTTTAGATCTATACTGTCTGAGGCTAATTTCAATTTTGAAGACCATCTAGTTAAGATTTGGCAGCTGCTCAGTTTCTTAGGCTAAGAGCCTCTTTTGCTTACAATTGGACTATCATATCTTGAATTTAGTGGCATGGCTGCTGATACTTTTCTGATCTTTTAAGAAGGCAATACTTTCAAGAATGTTTTGTCCAAATAATGGATTAAACTTTTGTTTATGATGTTGGTATCTGTTAATGTATGTGGAATCTATCTTTGATTTATACCAGGGATCCCCAAACTTGGCAACTTTAAGACTTGTGAACTTCAACTCCCAGAATTCTCCAGCCAGCTATGCTATGCAGAATTCTGGGAGTTGAAGTCCACAAGTCTTAAAGTTGCCAAGTTTGAAGACCTCTGATTTATACTCTTATAGGCCATATTTAATTTAGTATTGAAAAAAGTAAAATAGTATGGCTATCAAGTTATACTAAAACCAGTTCCACACAGACCAAATATTATTACCAGTTTTTCACACCTTTGTTGTAAATCTACAGTACTCCAAATATAATTTACAGAAGTATGGTATATTTAGATTTTTTTTTAAAAAAAAGGAATCATTATAAAAACAGATATAGATCAGATTTATTTGATTACAAATGAATACATTTTGATAATCAAAATTGGTACAGCAGGAGTTCACCTGAAATACAGGCAGAACCTGTACAAGTATTGTTATTAATTTTCCTGCTCCAATCTTATTCTCAGAAGTCCTCATTTCCTTTGATTATTTTTGAGAGCAAATGAATAAGTATGAAAGTGCAACAGAATGCTCACACTCACTTGTTCAAAAAGTGTGATCAGTTTCTCCTTAAAATGACTACAGGTGCTATCCAAGAAATCCTGTTAGTTCTACATCTATGGTCAAGCACAGTTCTAATTAAATAGCCCCTCTAACCTTTTAAAAAACTTTTAAAAAATATCTGCCCAAGAACACACTATCTGTGGAAGAGAAGTTTACCACTATGAATACTTGTACATTCTTGAAGAAATCAAGCTTCCAAGAGTGGAGGTGTCATGTAACCTATGTATAGACCTTGTCAATTTTCTTTGAAAAACAGCCGGAGACAGTAAGAATTTATCCCCCAATATAACATTCATTGAAGTCAGAGGATGGTGCCAACATACATTCTTCCCCAATACAAGTGCTCTTCACAAAGTCTCTAATGCCATTATGGATTCTGGTAACAGAATACTGTATGTGGTTCTTCCATCCTAAAGAAGCAAACTCAGATGCAAAAATATGTGGTTCAAATAGCATAAATTGCAGTATAGCTTTCTTCAAACCTGCTACTCAATGTCCAGATGTAATGGACACCAACTCACATACATTCTGACTAGCACAATTCCCATGCATGGTTTCCAAGCCTGCTGAGAATTATGGAAATTAAAACCCAACATATATGTAATCCATCAAATTGGAGAACGCTATGTCCAGTCATCAAAACAAAAAATATCCTGTTAACAAAGATAACAAGGACAAGAACATAATAGCGGTCAATGAAAGTTAGCTTTATAGAAGAATCTATGGGTTAGAAAAATATATTGTGACATTTTGGTTTTCATATAGTAAATCAGCCATAGCCACTGCTGCTAACAAACCAGAATTTTAATTTTAATACCACTCCCATGTCATACATGATGTTATAATGGATAGATTATTCGGTGTGCTAAGTCAAAACAATTAAATCATCATATGTTTATAAGTTACTTAAACCCAGCCATTGCCTTACCTTTATTACATCTATCTCAGCCGGCACTCAATCAGCTTTTAGAAAACAATTGTTCATGATTAAAATCTTGGCAAAAGGGCTCGTGATACTGAGGACCAATTCCTAATATATCCAGGCACAGATCCTAATACATTTCTATGAATGATTATTTTATGTAAATTTGACTTCAAATATCTCATGACCCAAGCAAGAAAAACCATACCTGGTCATTTTAATTATGCAATTAATGAATCATGAATCAGTGAATGCATTCTGGATGTAACACTTTCTGATAGTTTTAGGTCTACTATGGTTAGACAGTCCACAAACAACCTGCCCCCCCTACAGGTTACTGACAGAATGGCAGGAAGAAATCCCAGCTCCTTACATGTGTATGCCAGAAAAACTGGTGAGGTTCTCATTGATTATGGGTTGACTAGGCCAGTGCTGACTGATTTGCTGTTTACTCTATGTTCTTCAGGAAATCCAGCAGCCTTTGGTGCCATTCATCTGGCTTGTCAAGATAACAGGCATGGCCTGCCCCTTTCATCATCATTAACTTGTGATTAGATAAATTCTTCAAGTTGTTCAGGCTCACTTCACCCAGTTCGACATCTTGATCCCCATATACAATGAGAGTTGGTGTCTGTAATGCAGGAGAGAGGGAAAAAAAATCAAGCCTGGTTCAATCAACGAATGAACGTTCTTGCCTGTCTTAGATCCTAATAATGAAAAATTAGTTCAGATGAAAAATAGAGACAGGTGCTCTCTTCCGGGAAAAAAATCCTTCCCGTATTGCTGTTCAATTTATGTGGCTACATTAACCATGTAGCTAATTTGTACTTGCTCTCTGTGTTTTATAATGGCATGCTCTTAGCCCAGTTTTCAGGCTATAAATATATCCAATCAGTATTAGCAAGAGGATGATCCTTTCCTGGTGGTGATAGAAATGCAAATCTTCAGCAAAAACAAACCTCTTCTACATTTGCAAAACAGAGTAACTGCAGCAGACATTTTCAGCAGGACTACAGGGAATTCCCATTATTATCAAAAACCCACCATCACCCTAACTAAAAAAAATGTGCAGATCAGATTCGCAAGGGCAAAGGTACATGCTAGAAAAGACTAAAATCCCCAAAAGGGAGCAATCTGGAAAGGGGTCAAATTAAATGCTCTACGCTCACAAGAGACATGATAAAAGTCAGAGAATGTTCACAGAAATTTATCGCAGTAATTGTAATTCTTCTACATTCAAAACTACAATTCATTTTAGGTGTACCAGATTCTTACTGTTGATGCAGATGTGGGACTTATTCAACTAATGTAATAAAACATGCATAAAATGAAACGGAACCCAGAGAGAATCTCCCGAACCCATCTGAGTATTCTTTTAGAATGGTATTGCCCATTTTCTTGGTACATCTTCACAAAGCTATAAATATTCCCCAAATTGAATATAGGTCTGCTTTTCCTTATTAGTATTGTATTTGAGGGTAAGGCAGTGTGCATTGCCCCCTAATGGACAACTGATGAACTCCTGCAAGGTTGACAATACATCTGTAAATCCACTTCCATCCACATTTTCCTCGCATAGTTGTGAAATGCCAGTTGCATAACTGAGATAACCCAGCCCTTCTAATTATGTCTTGTACCAAAGAAGATTCTGCTCCAGAATTCCCTTCTTCTTTAGACGAACATACCTTGACACTGGCATATTGGGCTGGAGGGAACTTCTCTGTGCAGATGGGTGCCACGGGGATGTAGGCTTTCAAAAGGTGATTGTGCTGAAAAAGGAACGGGAGTGAATACATTCCACTGAGAGATGGACTGATCACCACTGCTTGGTCAAATTTCAGGGCCTCCAAGACATCCTTCAAGAAACTGCCTGGGGCTGGTTCTCCAACAGGAGCTGGAGCAACAGCATCTTTAGAGCGGCCGAATCCTGGATCACAAGAAACAAGACATCCTGCATCACACATATTCTGTATGTGTAGCCCTCTCCAACCAAGCATCCTCAGCTGGGTGATTACAACTCCTAGCATTCCCAGCTCAGAAAGACAACTGCTCCATTTGGCTAGGAATTCTGTTTGAGGATTGAGCCATATATAAGCATTTAAATTATAAATCCCCAAGTTTCATTTTTGTGACACTTGAAGCCCCAGTAATATACCATCAAAATTGTGGTAAATCATTCAGTAAGATGTTTTTGTCTATCCCTTTCAGTGGACAGAGAACTGTGGCTAGGTAGATTCAGATGGAAAGCACCTCCAAAATCCTGTTCCAGACCCTCTGGTTCTATTTCACTACCCCATCCTATTGCAAGTCTTGGCTTTGTGAAGGTATGTGTCCCTGCAACTGGAAGACACAAAGACCATGCTTTGTTACTATGTGGATTGACTCACTAGATTTTTCTCTTCAAGACAGAAGAGAAAACAACTAAGTTCTTCCATATATTTTACCAATTGTCATTGCTTGTGGTCCTTGGTTACTGATTGCAACCAACTGAAGTTATGACAGCATTAAAAAGAATGCAACCAATCCTTGCATTTACAATTGTCTCAGTATCCTGCAGTTACATGATCACCATTCATGCTTATGACAAGTAATTAATAGAGAATGCAGAAATGAAATCTTAAGTGGCATTATTTTTTGCTTAGTGACTCCATTACTTTGCTTAAAAACAAAGGCAAAATAAGGTGGTAAACCCGTCACAATCACTTGATTTTGGGCTTAAGCAGCTATGTTGTGCATCAGCCAAATTGCTGGTCCCGATTGCTGTTTTTACTATCACCCTCACCTGAGCTACAGATATTCACCACTATTGCAAACTCCTATTACTGATTATATAAACCTACATTCCCACATATTTATACAATCTTTAAATATTTATTATAAGGTAACCAATATAGCATAAAAGGAAGGTAGTCCCTGATTTCACAATTTAAGAAAAGTTAAGGAGAAAAAAACATAAGAGGACACCCAAAATTAGTACACTGAGAGATGAGGATGCTTATTGTGTGTATAAGCTACTGACTGCAGATAGAAAAAGGGAATGAACTTGAGTATCCAGGAAAAGTCACAACCAGCAAATTGTATCTTTGGAGAAAAGAATTATTAACAGATGCATTTTATTGCAAATATCCCTTGCATGTAAAAAAGCATTGGGGGGTGTTGGAGATCTATGTCTTCCCTTGAACCCCAAAAAACATATAACATGGTTTACACATAAGGAACAGCTTTCATATGTTTTCTTACATACTATATTTTGCCCATTTTATAATATAAGACCGCCATAAAGATGGAAATGAACTTACAAAGTTGAATACCATGACAATGAGACCAGAAAAAAATCAGAAGTCTCTCTAAACCTTAACTTTCCTGTTGCATCTCTGGAAGTTCAAGCATGATATACATTTTTAAGTTAGCCTAAAACAATCCATTTGTTGGCTTGATGTTGCAACTGAGCTAAATCATATTTTAGAATTAGTGTGCATATTTTATGGCAATTGTAACAAAACACACACACACACAGTGTGTATATGTATACACATGTGTATATATAGGTACGTGTGTGTATATATATATATATATATATATATGTGTGTGTGTGTGTGTGTGTGTGTGTATATAAAATGTATATATGTGTGTGTATAGTTATTTATTAAATAAATTAGCCTAAAAACATGATTTATTATGTTAATATAATAATTAGTCTGATAAAGAATAATTCTTTTACTTTGGTATTGCTGTATCACACAAAGCCTCATTTTTAACCATAATTTGTTGGAATCAGATTTTATATATTCTGCCTTATTTTTGCTTCTGGTGACACAGAAGCAAAAATGACAGTCTTCTTAAATATCAAATTGTATAACCTGCCTTTCTTTTGCCCAAATCTCCATTGCCCACTGAGAATCAAGCCCACCTGGCAGGTCAATAGCTACAGCATGGTATCCAGCTTCTGCCAACTTAGACAAAGTCTGCAGGTTGAGCCACGTCTCTGATGAAAAACGAATGCCATGGAGCAGCAGGAGGGAAAGGCGAGGAGCCTGTTGTGTAGGTTTAGCCTGGCGGGAGAACAGAGTCTGCCCACCCACTATGATGGTTTCCTCTGTCACCTGTACTGCAGCCATCACCCTGGGATCTCCGGGGAAGCCTGAAGACATGAAGTGAGCAGAAAAAAGATTCAATGATTGCCTTCGGCATTGATTTTTATAATATATTGTAAGAATAGATTAATTTTTGTTATTAAATGTATACATGACATACTTAACTGATTCGGTATGTTCACTCTGAATAGTCTCTTCCCCTTTGCTGGTCTGATATTTACATTTTTTTTATTATTTTACCTGTTTGATATTATAGTTAGTAATTAAATTGTTAGTTCTAAGTATGTTTCTGGTTTTCAAAAATGTTTTGTATAAAGTTTCCTCTGCAATTCTATTTTTAAAATTGCTATAAAAATAGAGCTGGGTCTGCTCTAGGTAATTAATACATTACATGTCATGTGAACTACTGACCTATTTAATAGGATTTAATTCAAATCTGTTACTCACATGTAGTTACCTGCTGAGCTGTTATGTAATTCTGAAAATCCAGTCAAGTGAGTAACAGTGTTCAGATTTGAGCCACTTGGTCCGAGAATGAAACAAGATGGATGCCAGTGCAGCCAACAACAAGGCACTCTGACACAAAATTGACATAAACATGCCTTTATAACTGTCTGGCTGCAATGTCCAAGACACCTGCCTAGCCAGTGAAGAATAGGCAAGAAGTATGACAAAGCTTTGCCAATACTTTTTTGTTTGCAGAATACAAGAACCCTGGACTGAGAAAATAAGTAGAGGATAGGGCTCCTAGATGTACTGATAATGACTGGATTGTAGGTTGTATTATGTGTATTGCCTATAGACGGAACAACTGCAGGATTCTTGTTATAGATAAATGCCTGAACTGGTCAGAATGGACACTGATGCTATAAACAATGGGATGGAATTAAGATATAAAAATATTTAAGAACATTTTTTAAGAGGATTTTTTTCCAATCCTGCTAAAATCCCCTAAAGCCCCCGCAAAGAGACAGAACAAGAAATGTCAATTTCCCAGCTGGGCAAATAAACCTTCATACAAGCAATCTCAGGACAGGGGGTCCCCTTTACATTTAGCTCGCTTTAGCTCTTCTGGTCACCAGTGTTCTCCTTTAACATGCAGTATTTTCCCTCTTATCTGTATTTTCCCTCTTATCTGTACTTTCCTTTTATCTGTATTTTCCTCTTATCTGTAAGCTGTTCAGAATCACTGAGGAATCAGCAATCTCAAAACTGGGTTAAACAAGTAATAAATAATTAGAAATAAAGACGTTTGCCTGAAACTTGCAGTTAGTGTGACAGGATTCCCATTGACATTTTGGGTTTTGTTGCAAGCAGCTAGGAACTTTTTTTTTCTTTTAAGAAAGTAATAAGGAAAGATTCAAGAACCAAATCAATCTTCATCAGCCAGTAACTTTTTAAATTTGCCATACATGCCTGGGTTCTTTGCTACAGTTTTTTTTAATATAAACTGCATTGTAATAGGGAGTCCAAAATAAAGTAAACTATACAAATAAAATGAAGATTTTTTTCTCAATGCAACCTACTTCACAATATATGCAATGATCCATTGTCAAGCGTGAACCGGCTGTTTTGGAGCAGCTGAGGAAAAAAAACAACAAATGAGGTATCTGTAAAACTTACCAAGTTATTGCCTTAATTAACCAAAATGGTGAAGTTTCGAGAACAGGCTAACTTGCAAGAGGCATGCAAACCGATCGCTGAAAGATTTAACACTCTCCAGAACTTCCGGGTCCAAAGGTTTTTAGAGGAAGTTTGAGGAAGGAGGGGAAAAGGTAGTAATACTGTGAAAGTTGCAACATTTTCTAAGCAAAAGTTCAAACAAACACTAGGGACACCTAGTGGTCATGAACAGAATACGTTTATTTCAACAATAATTCAATAAAATGTGCAGGTAAGTGGTTCTAGTATTATCACTTACTATGTAAATATGGTATTTGCATTATTTTACAATGTCTTCCAATCAGTGGTGGGATTCAATTTTTTTTTACTACTGGTTCTGTGGGCGTGGCCTGGTGGGCGTGGCAGGGGAAGGATACTGTAAAATCTCCAGTCAGAGGTGGTATTTGCTGGTTCTCCGAACTACTCAAAATTTCCCCAGAACTGGTCAGAACCTGCTGAATATCACCTCTGATTCCAATATTTATTTGTAACAGAAACATTTGTGTGTGTGGTTTTGTATGTGGTTGTGAGTGCGCTTGCGCACCCCCCCACACCCAAGTTAATTTTTGATCCCTGACAAGTGCTTGGACAAGTACCTGCAGTTTTCTTGGCAAGAGTTTTGGGAAGTAGTTTGTTATTGCCTCATTCTTTAGGACTGAAAGTGTGTGACTGGCTCAAGTCACTCAGCTGGCTTTGTGACTAAGGCAGGCTTAAGTCATTTTTTAAAAAGCTCAAATCCAAATAAATATTACAAATTTTAAATATTGTAAAGTAGTCCTAAACAACCCATGCCATCATTTCAAAGATATTTCTTTACCTAAATAGAGACACAGAATGACCGCAGCTTGGGGCGGAAATGGGAACAGGAGTGACTTCTAAATTTCTTGTGGAAAAATGGCAGGGAGTATCAGAAATTCTTTCTTTCTTTCTTTCTTTCTTTCTTTCTTTCTTTCTTTCTTTCTTTC